AGGAACTGGAGGAGGAAATTGAGGCCGAGCGGACCTCTCGCGCCAAAGCAGAGAAGCATCGGGCTGACCTCTCCAGGGAGCTCGAGGAGATCAGCGAGCGCCTGGAGGAAGCAGGGGGAGCTACGGCAGCCCAGATCGATATGAACAAGAAGCGCGAGGCCGAATTTCAGAAGATGCGGCGCGACCTCGAAGAGGCCACTCTGCAGCATGAAGCCACCGCTGCCGCCCTGCGCAAGAAGCATGCGGACAGCACAGCCGAGCTCGGGGAGCAGATAGACAACCTTCAGCGTGTCAAGCAGAAGCTGGAGAAGGAGAAGAGTGAGCTCAAGATGGAGATTGATGACTTGACCAGTAACATGGAGTCTGTCTCCAAAGCCAAGGTAAAAAAGTTCTGATTGAAAATAAACCAAAAGAAATAATTTTTTAAAATATGGTCAGGCTACAAGACATGTATCTACAGTATACCTTTCTGTATTTAAATCTAATGTTTCTAATCGAACATTGGATGTACCTTCTAGCTTGATCTCTGATTTCTCAAATTTCTGATATTAATGCTCTTTCATTCTTCATGTTTTACACACAGGCAAATCTAGAGAAGATGTGCCGCACTCTGGAAGACCAGCTGAGTGAGATTAAGACCAAGGAAGAGGAGCATCAGCGTATGATCAATGACCTCAGTGCTCAAAGAGCTCGTCTACAAACAGAATCTGGTGAGGCAGCATCTCTGGTGTTGAATGGGGATAGCATCCAAAAAAAAWAATTCTGGTCATAAATGGATAAATGACATTTAATATATTTCTTTTCTGCATGTTTTCCCAGGCGAATATTCTCGACAGGTGGAGGAGAAAGACTCTTTGATTTCTCAACTGTCTAGAGGAAAGCAGGCATTTACCCAACAGATTGAGGAGCTCAAAAGGCATTTAGAGGARGAAATAAAGGTGATAAGTTTTCCTATATCCGGCAGCTGAAAGGATGACATATTTAGCACAAATAATGATCGGAGCACATTACATGTAGGGAAAATACATAGTGACTCCTCCCTCTAGTCTTAAAWCTGTCATTCAGCGTAAACATGTTCACCTTCCTAGTGATCATATACCACTGTTAAATGCATACACTGCCATTTCTTAGGATGTACCTACCTCTTGGTCAAATACCTCTGTCCTCCAGGCCAAGAACGCCCTGGCTCATGCCTTGCAATCTGCTCGCCACGACTGTGACTTGCTGCGGGAGCAATATGAAGAGGAGCAGGAAGCCAAGGGCGAGCTGCAGCGYGCCCTGTCCAAGGCCAACAGTGAAGTGGCCCAGTGGAGGACCAAATATGAGACGGATGCCATTCAGCGCACAGAAGAGCTGGAAGAGGCCAAGTAAATGGGGGCTGAGGGAAAGGCTGACTACAGCTAACAAGGGAAATCTGAATAGACCACTGAGCTGCTSTTGGGGGAGGGAGGGAAGCTTTGGGTGGGAATGCATTTTGTGAAGCACTTACTGGTATATATCAAAAATGAATTGAGATTAAGACAATGAAAGCAGTTAYCATCCATGCTTGATATGCATAAAGAACAGAGGGATTGATGGAGCAGAGSCATGTACATGAGAATACTGTGACTGCTTGGAAAAAGCCTTGTACTCTCTGTGCATAGGAACCATAGAGTGAAAGAGGCTAAGGCTGCTCTTGTGAAAAGCCCATTTTCTTCCCAAAAGTGCCTCCTGTGAGCTCTCTAACCAGGAGATTTGCTTACTGCTTAACAGGAAGAAGCTGGCACAGCGTCTGCAGGATGCAGAGGAACACGTTGAGGCTGTGAATGCCAAATGTGCTTCCCTGGAAAAGACAAAGCAGCGGCTGCAGAATGAAGTGGAGGACCTGATGATTGATGTGGAAAGGTCGAACGCAGCTTGTGCAGCTCTGGACAAGAAGCAGAAGAATTTCGACAAGGTAAAATGGGCTCCCACCTTGTCGTCTTGTGACAGAGTATCCCCTTGTGATTGCCAGGTCTATACTCAGGCCTTATTGCTCTTCAGATCCTGTCAGAGTGGAAGCAGAAGTATGAGGAAACACAGGCYGAGCTGGAATCCTCCCAGAAGGAGTCTCGCTCTCTCAGCACRGAGCTGTTCAAGATGAAGAATGCCTATGAGGAGTCCTTGGACCACCTGGAAACGATGAAGCGGGAGAACAAGAACTTACAGCGTAAGTCCCAGACGCTCTGCTCCTTTCTGATCTCACAACCTTCTCTATTCACTGGTCCACAGAGGTGTGTGCTTGAGGCACTGAGAGAATGCCTGTCATCTTCATGTGGAAGTTCGTTTTCCCCCCGCTCTAAGCCTGACCCTGCTAATTATCTCTGTCCCTACAGAGGAGATTTCTGACCTCACGGAGCAGATTGCAGAGGGAGGAAAGGCCATTCATGAGCTGGAGAAAGTGAAGAAGCAGATTGAGCAGGAGAAATCAGAAATCCAGGCTGCTCTGGAGGAAGCTGAGGTAAATGGCCATAGTCATTGATTTCCATTCCACATTTTCAGTGTGAAAAAGAATWGCTGGAGGCTGTAAGACATATGGTACAGCKCTCTCCCTCTTGAGTTTGAAACTTCAAGCCTGCAAGAGGCTGTACCAGAGAGAATAACATTAGGAAATTCACTTTTATTAATATGGTGATTTTGATTCTTTTTCAGGCGTCCCTAGAACATGAGGAAGGGAAGATCCTGCGCCTCCAGCTGGAGCTCAACCAGGTCAAGTCTGAGATTGACCGGAAGATAGCAGAAAARGATGAGGAAATCGACCAGCTGAAGAGAAACCATCTCCGAGTCGTGGAGTCCATGCAGAGCACGCTGGATGCTGAGATCAGGAGCAGGAATGAAGCCCTGAGGCTGAAGAAGAAGATGGAGGGAGACCTGAATGAAATGGAGATCCAGCTGAGCCATGCCAACCGTCTGGCTGCAGAGGCCCAAAAGAACCTGAGAAACACACAGGCAGTACTGAAGGTCGGTTAAGCCCAAGATATGTATGTAAGCTTTTAGCTTGCGTAATGTACTTGCATTATAACTACACATA